CAGCCCTGAAGTGCACAGACGCGCAGTGCGCTTTTGGGACTTTTCGACACGAGACCGGCAAGTTGTCCTGGCAAATATCTCCCCTTAGCGACCTCGCGCTGCATCGCCATGCCCAGCGGTGTCTCGGCAGTCACTGGCTTGCGCTCGGCCTCTGGCGACGCTCCGCACTGTGGCACTGTGCAGTTTTATTTCCACGCATGGTACAGCATGATGTTTTTTGCAGGGCGCGCATCGCGCGTGCAAATGGTGCTCTGCGTTTTGTGGCAGAAATGCTGCAAGACATGGATGAGAATTTAGATCCCGGCAAGGGGCAGCAAGACTTGCCAGAGGCAGCCGCGTCGCCGGAGCAGGAGACTATCACACCAGCTAAGACGCTGGCCAATGGAGCAGCCTTGACCCCGGGGCTGCAATCGCAGCTCGGATGAGGGTCTCCCTCATACTGGAGGCATTGCCAAGCCGCTAGGTATTGCGTTTTTCCTAGCTGGAGGCATTGCCTACCCTAGTGACGGGCGATGGCACACAGTCCGCCTGTCTTGACTGGCTGAGTCCACGAGCAATTTCTTCTGATGCTGCATTCGAAGCGAAAACTTGCAGTCTGAGAGATGCGGATATTCAGACAGTCTGCCAGAGGAAAGTACTTATGTTCTCAGATCGTAATCTTGCGCAGCCGGCTCAGACACCCTAGGGAAGAGGCGATAAGAGTAGGGCACATGTGGAGGTTGTCACCTGCCCCGGCGGACATGCCGCTTGATGTTGCGGATACGGACTGCGCTGTTCCTTCCCGTCAACCAAGCGCCGCAGAAAGGTGGCCCCGAACCCTGTTCCAGCAGAGGCCTCACAAGACACTTGTGACCGAGGCGGAGCGGGAGTTGCAACAAAGGCACGAGTGCCTGACCACCGCCCTGCAGCTCTACCAGCCTGCTTCAGCAGGGGCGCAGCCGGGACTGCGCCTGATCCTTCCGCCCCGCATAATGGATGGGGACAACCCCTTCACGCTGTGCCCGCTAGAGGCTCTTGCAACAGACTGCCTTCACAGGCGATTCGCCTTTGCACAGTTCGAGGAGATACTGAACGGCATGCCCAAGACCTCGGACACCAGACATCCCTCTCCGGTGGAGCCCATTATGCAGGACCAAAAGACCATGTTCTTCGGAGCATACGCGCAGGGGCCATTGGCCGGACTCAGGACACAGACGCGGAGATACCCCATGGTGATTCGACTTCTCAACACCGTTATTCACACGCTGTGCGGACCCGTACCGCGCTCCACGCTGTTCCTTGCCCGGAACAGAGCGATGGGCCTGCACACGGACCCGAACAATCACCGCGATGTCCCCAATTATCTCATCCCCCTCTCCAACTTCGAGGGCGGCCAGCTGTTCATCGAATCCCAGAACGGAGACTACAGCCTGGATGAGAACGGCATGAGGGGCTACGTCCACGAGGTACCGCTCCCCTTCCTGCAGTTCAATGCGCGTCGACGGCGCATGGTTTTGTCCGGTATGGACGCAGGCTCATCCTCGGGGCCTTCCACGTTAAGGAAACTCAGACGCTGTCGGAGCCTACGCGACAGCTGCTAATGAACCTGGGCTTCCTATTCCATGAGAAGGCCTAGTCAGGATAGCTACACCATTGCAGAGCTGGCTTTTTGCCGGAGCTGGAGACAAGCACGCCCGGTATATAACCGTTTGGCGCAGGGTCCATGGGACATGCACATCAGCTCTGCGAGCTGACCTCGATCAACGTGCTGTCCAGAAGACAGGACCAGGCATGCCCTAGCTCACCGGAACGAAAAAAGGCGACCTGCTGCCAACAGCTTCAGTGAGCATCCTCACCTGCAAACTTTTACCTGCCCGGACATAGCTAAGGTCTAACTGGCAAGGGCAACAGCGTCGCTGGCTGCGTCAAGACGTGCCCCTCTGCCGTCTTGCACCGGAGCTAGCTTGCTTGCTTAAGCATTCAGCCAGGGTCTGATCCAATCTGCAGATGTAGACGCCGCTGCTGTCATGCTCCGCAAGGCATGATGATAGCTGTCGTGGCACAGACACGTCATGAACCATTAGCCACGGGACAAGCTGAATTTGCCAGCTCTTTGTAATGCGACAGCACTGCCACGGATTTGCACGGCTGACTGGCGCCATTGGCCACTGACTTAGCAAAGGTGTTGCAAGCTGGGAGCATTGCTCAATACCGGAGTTCTCGCCATGGACACACGGTTCATTGGCGCTGAGGAAGGCCCCTTTCTGGTATTGAGCGACAGCACCCTCCAGCACCTGCTCTTCACCTCTGGGAGGGGGAAATCCTACGGGGTGGAGCCCGTCATGGGTGGCTACGCGATCGTCAGCCCGGGAGCTACGTTAGTCGCGCCCTACCGGCAGGAGCCGAAGAACCCCCCCGGTCCTTGAGATTCTGGCGTGGCATTTCATTCAGGTACTGGAGGCGTCCAGCCAGTCCACTACGTCTTTTCCTGTCCAGCACCCAGGTCTCAAACAATGCCTCCTAGAAGCCTTTCATCGGCCGGTCAATGTGGGACTCATTCCCTTGCGGGAGAGCTTACCGCCCCACAAACAAGGCTCGTACAATTGGATCGCCGGTGTTAGGGACGATTACGGTCTCGGGTCGTTTGAGCTCCAGGAGCAGACCATCATGAGCCTCCAAGCCCGCCAAGATGAATGGCCTACGCCCCCGTACCTCGTCGACCAGCTCTACAAGCAGAACAACTGTCACTTCCGCCCTGAGGTTGCGGAGAAGGCTATCGGCCTCCTTGTTGGTCGCGCGCTGAAGACCATGAGACGACAACAGCCGGGCAAGTTCCAAGTCCTGGTGATATGCTCCTGGAACTCTACGGACGACAAATGTTCACCAGGAGATGCACGCCGCGGCGGAGCTTTGCCGGGCTACCATAGTCTCGGAGTTGGGGTCATTGGCCGCCAGGCACACTCAGAAACCCTGGGCATTGAGGCGGTA